GGCTCTGTGCGGCCCCGGGGAGGCTGCGATGGGGGTGCCGAGATGGGCCCGGGCCCGGCAGCCCCCGGCCCAGGGCTTGGGGAGCTGCGCTGGGGGGCGCGCAGGGCGCTGCCCGTCCCGGGGTGCGCTGGGCCCGGCTCCCCGACGGCTCAGCGCGGGCAGGGCCGGCTGCCTTGCACCCTCAGGGATGGGGCGTGGGGTGGGGAAGAGCCTAAGGTTTGTGCAGCCAAATTTAGCTGCCGGACGACACTTAAACCAGTGGTCTCGTGTAGCGCAGGAGAACGATTCCCTTCGGTGAAAACCGTATTATTTTGTTTGATCTCGCAGTTTTGCAAGAGCTATTGCTAACAGCTGGAGCGAGCGCTGCATCCCCCTCTCCGGGGCAGAGGTGACCGTGGGGTGGGGAAGAGCCTAAGGTTTGTGCAGCCAAATTTAGCTGCCGGACGACACTTAAACCAGTGGTCTCGTGTAGCGCAGGAGAACGATTCCCTTCGGTGAAAACCGTATTATTTTGTTTGATCTCGCAGTTTTGCAAGAGCTATTGCTAACAGCTGGAGCGAGCGCTGCATCCCCCTCTCCGGGGCAGAGGTGACTACTGGGGAGGGCTGCTCCCAGAATTAAACCAGACACTCAGATAGGAAACGCAATTGGCAACACCCCCCTCCCCCATTTGCTGACACAAAACTTAAGGACTATCTGTGCCAAGCATTTAATCGACTATTTCAAGCGTTCCTCTCCCTCCTCTCCTCCAGGAGAGTATATAAAACTGATTGTCCTTAATTTCAAAACAGAGGAATCTTAGTCTAAAAGACTTTTTGGACTAGAGGTGGAAACATCAGGCTAAGACTTTCCAGAGATGCTGAGCGCTCTTGCCATACAGTGGATGAGCGTTCAGCATTGGGGTGGGCAGGCAAGATGTGTTATTAGGATGAGCCAGGGCTTGCGAGATAACTGTTCCCAGCTGCTTTAGGGTTTAATTTTTTTTTTCCCCCCTGAGCTGGCTAAGTGCCCGTCTGGCTCTAGCAGGCTGGTTGTTTTCTGTGATTGACAGACCAAGGTCAGGGAAGCTCTTCAGGGCTGGGGC